TATGTATCTCACCTGATGATGTTAGGTAAACCCGGTGAAACGTTGTGAACAAAATAAATACAAGTTTTACTATGTACACCCAACAAAAACTTGTGTGAATTTCAGATCGTGTTTATTTTTTGTTATTATCATCATTATTCTACCCGACGTTTCGGCTTACGCCTTTTTCAAGTCTTTGAACATAACGGTTTACAAAATTGATTTTAAATTATCGTAACATAACGATGGGCTCAACAAACACACAATAGATATCACAAATAATATTCAACGTTAAAACTGGTACACAATTAAAAACATTTTATTTAGGCCTATTAATCGAAACGTGTAGAGTCGTCAACTTTTTGAAGGCCAAAGATAGGCCTAAATAAAATGTTTTTGTGTACCAGTTTAAACGTTGAATATTATTTATGATTTTAACTTTATACACAAGTGCCAAAATAGAAACACACGATAGGCATTTCCCTGGTAGCAGTATCCTGTAAAGAAATTAGCATTGTTGAAATTCGACTTTTAAACCGAAATCTTGGAAAGTGTAACTTTCATTGTTGAAAGCATTATAAGCTTATTAACAAAGAAAAGTACACTTCGTATTATTAAGGTTTTAGTAGACCAGAGCTTACGAGACTCGAGGTGGAGGGTTTATTCAATGAAACTTAATCCTTTTTTTTTATATCTTATATGTTTATTTCATAGCACTGATTCAGCAGATATGCAGAATTTCTTTTCTGGTAAAACAGGCACACACACAGTTGATCAGATAATATGTTGTAGTCAAAGTTTTAAATTACAGCATAAATACATTCACTAGCGGATTAGGGCGTAACCAGGGCACTGGGAAATCTGTTTAAAAAGTTCCTTGCGTCTTGACAATCAGATTTGTGTAACGCAGGGCCCAGTTCTTTCTGGAAATAAGTAAAAAAAAATTTGCACATCTCGAGTTGGCGAGATCGTGTAGATAATGACAAGGAAGCTGACGCTGGGCTGAACGGGCTGGAACTGTCTTCGGAGGAAGTAAAAAAGAATAGAGGAAAGAGTCAAATTGTTATTGGCTGAACAATTTCGTCATCAGTTATTTTTCTGTTATATAATACTGGTAAATTTAAATTGTGTGTAGGGAGGGGGGATGAAAACAAATCTGCGTTTGATACCTGATAGCCTATAATACTTTCCAAAGTGGCTTTTTTTTTTTGAGATAAATGTTAGTGGAGCTTTAGAATGATAAATGGAACATTTACAATCAAGATGAAAGTCTTATCCAATAATATTGTCAACAGTCATCGTGACTGTATATCTATATTTAAAGGACAGAGACCGTCATATGATAACGTATTGAAATAGGATCGATTGAACGTAATGTTAGAGAACAAAAACGAACATTGCAAAATTATTCTCGTTCACAAAGATCTTTAGAAGTCTTGTTCTCAACAGCAACTTGAAAGTGCGTAGATCTGCAGGCTGGAAACGTTATTTGCTTTGAGTATAGAATTGAGTATTTCTAAGCCTTTTATGTAAATATGAAATGTGTGTGTGTTTGCACTCTTAACTCCTCCGAGCCTATTGGGCCAATTTCAACCAAAATT